GACTACACAAAAAATAATCTTGACTTATCGCATAGTAATAAATTATTAATATCAAAAATGTATTTCTGTTTTTTCTTTTTACATATTTCGTTAAAAGACCAAATAAGGAATTCAAACCAAAAAAAAGTAATTGTCTGTTTTGTTTTATTGTTGGATCGGGCTTTAAAGGGTTAATATAAACAAGATTTTTGTTTTCACTTCAATCAGAAAATCTGTATTTTAAGTTTATTCTTGCAGCACAGTAAAACTACACTGCTTCTGTTTATCCTTGTGAAAAGAGTTTGACAAAAACCAAAGGTGTTCTTGAGCTTTTGAACATCATCCGCAGGGATTTCTGACGGGAACTCAGAGACGCAGAGGCAGACAGATACTTTTCTGTGTTCATTTTCACAATAAATAAATGAACATTTTAAACATTTTCCTTTTTTTTAAACCAACTGGTATGATTCATTCATCTAAAGACAATATATACTGGTATTTTTCCCAGAAATTGCCATCTTTTAGAAGCAAAGCAGGGTGCAAGATTAACTTTATATTTTGTCTTCTAATGAGAAAAATCCTGAACTATTCACCAGAAATCTATTTGATGGCTTGTAAAGGTAACTGATCTTTGTATATAAATAATAATGATTTTTTTTTCTTATCTAAAAACATAATGAGACACAACGTTTACTGCTTTTTAGAAACACTGTCGCTCTCATGTGTGCAGAGGGTAACCACTTATAACAAAATATCTCCCTATCTGTTCTTTGTGTTATTCTGCATCTCTTTCAATAATGAATTAACCCTAATTAATCCCTTATTGTTCTTTCTCTTACCTGAATGATCATTTATCTTTTGCATGTGGAAGTTAATTTTTGTGAATGCTTCAGAGATTTAAAAAAACGAAAAAAAAAGCTTTGTTTCATTATATGCTCTTTTTCCTGTTGCTTTATGAAAACAAAAGGTCGACTTCATTTTCCCAAAGGGTCACAGCTCTGATTGTTTCTGAGTGCCAGAACATTTAGAGAACCTTATTATTCAAAAACTTACATTTAATAATTAACTCTATAATGGATTATTATGTAATACAACATGAGACATACAGTACTGACAACAGAAAAAATACATTACAACTGACTTTTAGACAAATACGTATAAGAAATGTAAAAAATATGTAAGGTTTTGTTTTTTATTGTATGTTTTAGACTCATATTTTCTCTCAGGGATGCAGGAACAAAGTGACTTTGTTCAGTTTTCTTTGCTTGCATGGTGTAAGAAAACTGTACAAATGCTGCATTAAGAGGGAATGATGAAAACATCACAACAGGCTTTCGGAAGTATGAAACATCAAGGCCAGAAATAACTTTGTTCTTGCCAAATAAAGTAGAACTAATTCTGGTCTTTTGTAGTACGTTTTGGCTTTTAAGCCTGCTCATGTAACATTAAACTCTAATCCCTGAATCCTTGCCTGCTGCTTTGTTCTTCACAAACTGCCTTTTTATTTTTGAGTTCTACCAAAGAGTAACGATGTTTCCTCTGATCTTTTGGATTTTGAGAACTTTTATCTGTGTGAGATCTGGGTAACTGTTACAAGAGGATTCTGAAAAAAAAATGCCATGCAAACCTTATATTTGTTTCTACTGGGAACAATGAAACACCGGACTCAGCGACCATGGCAAGGCAAACTGATATCATGAAGCCTTTAGTCAACAGTTCATATATTGTTAAATAGTCTGCATTCCTTATTAGTCTAATTAAAGGTACAGAGGATGATTTTTTATTTCAAGGTGGATCATCTCAATAAGTGGTCCTCCTACTTGTCAATCATTCTGGTGATATGCAGTGTTGGGAAAGTTCTCTTTCTACGTGAACTAGTTCAAAGTTCAGTTCACACATTTTAAAATGAACTAGTTCAGTTCATAGTTCATAATTCAAAATTTTGAACTAAGTTCACAGTTCCAAAAAATTAACTAGTTCATAGTTCTTTTTTTTTCATATATTTCTCAATTACAGCATAGCCTACTGTAGAACCACAGACAGCAATTATTTTATCAGTTGTAACACTGAAACTGTGCGTCAGATTTCATCTTCATATCCAGTTTTGAATCCTTATCCAAGCAGGGTTTACATTAGCATTGAGGGGACAGCATTTCCCCATTGTTGCTTTAACGCTTTGTTGCTGTCACTTCACACTAGTAGCAGCTGCAGCTTTCACCCCTACAGTATATTCTCAAAAACATCAGGAAAAATGTGCTGCTTGAATGGTCTTTTTTATGAGGAATTATTAAAAGAAAAACAGGAAAGTAGTCTTTAAGGTGCAAATGTTTTTTTAATTATTTTAATTATTTTTTCCATTTGAAATTTCATTTCAGTTCATACTAAAAAGGAATACTGAAATCCTGGAAAATTATACCAGGCAGGTTTAAGTGAGGATTTTTTTACTGAAAGCCGGCCGGTAAAGTTTGCAGAGAAATGTAAGATTGTTGCCATCATCCTCACCGACCACCTGGTCATAAACCTGTTTTAAGTGATCATACTGCTGCTTTGTCGCCTCCACGGTCGCCTCCATGCTGCTGTGGCTTCCACGCTGCATTTTGTTTTGATGACGCACGCGGCTGTAGGCTACGACACTGGTAGCTGGTGTTGCCAGATTGGGTGTTTTTCCCGCTACATATTAAGGCCTGTTTACGGTGTGATTTAGCCGGGGTTTCGCCTGGAGGGCTCTATAGAAATCTGGCAACCTATTGAACGGAGTTGAACTGAGAGAGCGTGCCGTTCACAGACACCAGAATGAACGAGTTCACAATAACGTTCATCAGGCAGTAATGCAGTACGTTCAGTTCACGTTCGCCCAAAATATGAACGAGTTCATGAACTTTCGTTCAATGAACGCGTTCAGGCAAAACACTGGTGATATGTTTATGTAAGGCCGTCCTAAATGCTCGTCTCGTTAGCTATTTTTTTCTGCGCATTCGCACTTTCAGGCATATATCTGTGGTGAGCTAAGGTTTCAGGCGGTCATTGAACTCACCTTTCTCACCGTGGTTCTTTGAACATGGCTGACGTGGTCATAAGAGAAAAGTGTCTACGAAGTGTAAGAGAAGAAGAGAAAGGCCTCAGAGGAAGATATATCCCAGAATGCTTTGCGCTGAGAGCTCTCCTCACAAAGCACTATGGGATCTGCTGTCACAGTGGCGCACTGTCGCCATAGGCTGTCGCTACCCGACAGCGGCGACTAACAAAGATGAGGCAGGCACCACACAGTGGAGGAGTGGTTACGTAACCAACGGGGAGCTAAAGCAGTGATCATCTGTCCAAACGGTCAGTTAACTGAGTTCACTATAAAGTCCAAGTGATTGAGGGATTAAGGGATTAGGGCGGACATTTGGGCAAAGTAAGCTTGTATGAGCTATGAAAACAGCAACTTTTAAACAGAGCGTGTATGAGGAGAAATGGGCTTGTGCACGCACTGCATGCATTTCATAGGGGTTCCCTCTTGGGAGCGGGTACAGGGTTGTGCATGTGCATTTTTTCTTTTTTTTTTATGTAGAGGGCTGGTCTTTTTAAAATTCGTTAAAAAAAAAACTCCACAATACCTTTAAGTGAAAGTAGCATGCATGAAATGTTAATGCAGTCACCAAAACAGCGAGAGACAATATTTTTCTATATGAAAAATGTTTTAATACTCCTGTGGGCATCTAACCCTTGTTGTTTCAGTCTCCATCAACTACATCAAACTTGCCTTAAATATGTAATTCCTTAAACCTGTTTTCAATAAACACAGTTGAGATTAAATGTGGATGACAAGAATTTTATTGTGAGGAACTTTATTTAGGCTGGGTTGACCTTGATGCTGTTTTTAAATAGTTTTTTTGAGAGATACGACAAGTATATCCTCATTCCTCAAAGAGTCTGTAGCTTTGGTAAGCTTTCTAAAAAAAAATTCTCGTAAATGCTCTGAAAATGCTATTAAGCTGTTACTGAGACGATACTTTGTAAATAATGATGTGATGTTAGATTATCAGCCAAGTATCCTTTCTTTTACAGCTGTGTCCAATACTGAGGATGGGACACATGTCCTCATACTCTGTACGGGAATGGGTTAGCATACCTGTATTTGCTGGAGCATGTTCTTGAGCTGAACCAGAAACTCCTTTGCCTCTTTAGCTTTATCAGAGACGCCGTTCAGAGCCTGAGAGAGCTGGCACTGCAGAAAAAAAACACAGAGGGAGACAAAATAGGTTTTGACATACAGCTGCTTCTGTTTGGTCAACTTCACCACAATGAAAAGAGATTTTTACCATTTTCAAACAACCTTGCTATGCAAATTTTAAATGAAACAAGTACAGAAGTTGGTTATTTTATCTTAGTATGTGGACGGATTAAGGTCCAATCTCTCTGAGGAAAAGCTTCCAACCAGTAGAACCAGTGATGTTTTTTTCCTAAGATATTTGTTATGTAATCAGATCATTCTCGAAAGAGGCGCCAATAACCACTGATCCTTGCCTAAAGCGAATTCCCTGGAAATTTCTTCTGCATTAAGAAAAAACTAAAAACTAAACAATGACTCAAGTAAATGGATTATATTTAAAATCTCCATCAGATCATCAGCTGCAGAGATTAAAGCCATGACATAATTTGTAATGTTTGGAAACATACATATAAAACAAATAATACCATCATTTAGAAATCATGATAACAAAGAAATCTAATCCCGCCTATAGTATATACTACAGTTTGGATTATAACTTTCGAATATTTGGATTAAATGGGATTTAGAAAAAAAAACCATAAACCTTCTTAAAATGGCACAGAAATGAAGAAATCCTAGCTGTTCTTTAACATCACGCAACAAAGTATCCCTCCAAGGAAAGCTTTTATTGTCAAGTTGAGTGGAGGTTGTAGAGGACCTAAATGCAGAGACCGAGGCAGAGATGGTTTCTTGTAGATTTAATGATGAGGCTGGTGGCAACAGAAGTATAAATCCAGAAAAACATAACCAGGGAACACAGGAACCAGAACAGAGGGTAAATTAAAACTTCAGGAGGGAATGAAGAGAATCAAGCACTAAGAAACTGCAGAGGAGGAGTAAAGTATATATGGCAGACAGAACAATGAAGGGAGTAATCAACTAATTGGGGGCAGGTGAGGACAGACGTTCCTGGAAGGGAGCTGAGTGGAAGGAGAATAACAAGGGAATACAACAGAGCTTAAATATAACTAAAAAAAAATAACTTATGTGACACTTAAGGGAAATGAGACTAATGACTAGAAAACACTGAATGACATAATAAAAATTTTAAAAACTTGAACACAACCAAAAATCCAGGTCAACAGATCATAATTGTTATGATAGATGATAGATATAGATAGATAGATAGATAGATAGATAGATAGAT